AAGGGATAATTTAATATTTAGCACTGGTATTAAAATAATGAATCAAATACCATTTAACTGTTCTTTTTTTATATTTAATAGAGATGTTATGGCTAAATTGCCATTAATATTGAATAAAATGGTAGCAAAATGTAGGCGGGAATCGAGAGTTAGCGTGCATAGTTCTTTATATACCACTGTGACCTTGAACTTTGACCTTCTGTCCATATGGACACACATTAATAAGATGCTAGTTATTGTTGACTAGAACTGTAACTTTTTTTTCTTCATTTGTTGTTTAAAACATAAATTTTAGTTATGACACAGAAAAAATGTTGTTTAGTTTTCTTAAATATCTATCAAAGTCGGCCATTTTGACCTTGACCTTTGACCCTTAGTCATGAAAATTAATTTTTCGCTTTGTTTTTGCTATTGTTTACCATATATCTAAATTTGATTTAATCCTTTTTAAAATACTCAGGCAATTACATGGATCCTGATTGCATCTACGTATAATTGTACTTTTCTATGATTTTGAAAAAAGCATAAGTTTGTAACCATGGTAACAAGAAAACTAAATATGAATACCAAGTAGTTGTTTGTAGTGTACATTAGAACTATATTTGGACTTTCAAACCAATGTATTCATTTTTTCCAAACTTTCCGCAAAAATTTATACCAGGCTTTTCAAAAGAGCCTAAAATCCACAATTTTCCACAAGAAAAATCCTACCTATAAATGAGTGATATTTTTTCTATGAGGAAAAAGTTACTGAAATACTAAAAATTTTCTAAAGCACTGTAAAATGATCTATTTTGGCAAAAAGGTAAAGTCACATTGATAGCTTGTTCCATTAAAGACTTTTAATAAGTCAAAAAGGGTCATTTTTCATCAAAATTTAGCGATTTTTAGGCCATGAAAAATGTATGTTGGTTGCCATGGTAACCATGGACCATAGCAACCATTTTATTATGAATTTTAGGTACATACATAAATACAGGAATGTATGCCAAGTTTCATAAAAATCCAAGACCATGCGTGCCACACTCCCTATATAAGAGTTTAAATGCTTACAGAGAATGGCTATTAATATGTAGTTTATTAAAACCTTACTGAATAACTTTTAGCAATATATCTATATAAAATCAAAAATCATAGGTTGACTCATATGAAATATCTTTCACATAACATGCATAAGTTTGACTTAGTTTAGAACTCGCTAAGTTCGTTTTATGTTACGGTTAAAGACACACTTAAGTAGTACTTAGACAGGTCCTAAGATTATGTCTAAACCGTACTTACGACCCTACTTAAGTCAAAAACTTAGCAAGCTTTATGTTACGAGCCCCAGATTTTCTAACAATCAATTGAAATGCATACGGGTACTAATGGACATACATTCCTACATCTCCATACTACATATTCTGGTGAGCTTTGGATAAAAGATACCACAGAGTCTGTCATATCTGTTTCAAATCTGGATATTTTACTTGAAAAATACGTTAATGGTTATCTAACAAACAAGCTTTGTGATAAACCCGTTGACTTTAAAGTAATATACGCTATAACGTGCGCCATTTTTAAATATGGCTGGAAATGTACATATTTTGTTTACCAATAAAAGTTACGAAAATGCTGTAAATTACACCATTTAAATAAAAATCGTTATAAAGTTATCAAATTATAATTATTTATTATCCTGCAAGGAGAATAATGTCTATTTTTAAGTAAATCCACCACGTGACGCCGTCGCTACTTTTAGATTGATAAACAAACACGGCGTCAAGAAAACGAGGTAAGCCCTTTGAGATACAACTCACTTTTGACATGGATGGCGTGTTACTATTAATATAACTTATCTTTAAATGTAATCAGTATCAACCATCTATACTCTGTTATGACGCATATTAACCTTTTATTAATAATCGTTGTCAAAATGCATCGTGCCTCGTTGTCTATAATTTCCCGTGGACATACGTGTCTATATTTAGACCTACTGTTTACGCACTTCCTTTATCAATATTCATGAAAAGACTGAATTCTTGATTGCAGATATTGCTTTATTATTGTGTTATTACATCGAGTTTTATAGTTAAATTTTGTGGAAATATTATTTTTTCATTACACTTTATGTGTTTCAAATCATTTAATCATTTTGTTTGACATACAAACCGGCATTCATACGGCGTATATTACTTTAATTTTTATTTTCTCAGCTTACCTTACTTATGCAGCAATATACCTACATCACCTGCATACGACGTTTACATATATCAGTTGAATTGATACTCAAAAAATGCTCTACGTATGAACTATGTCTAAAACGAGCTCGAGGTAAATTTTTGACAAACAAGTTGATGAAATAATATCAGCAGTCTCGTTTAAAGTCATTATTTTGTAAGGTCTCTGACGTTTTACATATTAATTGTTAGTCCATTATAAGCACACTGAATTGTCGACAGATTTTCCTTTATTCCGCGTTATTCCGCAATCATGACCAAAAGCATAGGGTGGATGTGACCTGTCCGTAGGGGATACTCACTACTGCATGACACCTGATTTAATCTCTGATGTTTTGGAGATCCGTGTACGCTCTGCTCCTATTTTGTATTGTTTATGGACTTCGATATTGTATACTGTTAGTGTATACTGTATACTGTTAGTTATCTCCATATCCTTCATAAAGTGTTTTGCTTTCAAAAATTCTCTTCTTTCTACCGTGCTCCCTGAAAACTGTCTGTAAAAGTGTACAAAAGTAGAATACAAACTTTAATTAACCCAAAAGTCCACAAGTTCATTAAAGAAGAAGGTATGGTTTTAGCTTTATTGCGCCCTAAAAATGTAACGACATCAAAAAGTTTTGAAACTGGCTTAAATAATAGTTAAATAAATGACTCTGATAAATCAGGAAAGAATATGGCATGAAGGTTTACCAGTTTGCAAATATAACGTCATTAATGTTAAGTATTTCTCTATTTTCAACAGAAAAAGCCTCAAAATGGCACCTTTCAAGTGTTTTTTCCTTTAGAAAAGAATGTCCACAGGCGTTGCCCACGTTAATTTTTTGATATTTTGTGCAAAATATAGTAACAAATCACATATCTCAAGATCTTTGTGGGCGATGCCTGTGGACAATGTTATCTGAAAGAAAATTCCACTGAAAATTGGTGTCTTCTGTAACTTTTTAAAAAATACGGGAAAATACACAAGTTTATGAGGTCATAATTAGCATTTAAAAACACATATGAGAAAAATGACTTGTATGTTTTTTCTGCATTGAATTTCAATTATTTAAAAAGCACAAGTTTTCAACTTTTACACCAGTTTCATTTTTTAGAAAATCACAGGGCAAAATTTGTATGGAAACCATACCTTCTTCTTTGTTCAAGCCGTTGAATATTGATGCCTGTGATTTCTTACGCTGGTGTGAATAGCGGAAGTAGTATCTCCGATACAAAATTTTACATCGATGAGACTGGTACCTTTTTGTTTTTACTTATCCTCTATATGCAAAAAGTACCAAATGATTCAATGTGGGATATTTCATTACTAACTTGAGCGAGTTGTACCAAAATACCTATAAAATATTTTTCATATCACAACAATCTGCTTTAGGAGAAATGCCACACCATCTTTTTATTTTATAGATCTCTGAGTAGTTTTTTTTAAACAATGGTTTCAGCATTCAAAGACAGATATTAGCATCCATAAGTATTACTGTAGATTGGCAAATAATCACGATGGTTTTAATTTCGCTATGTTCTTGATTTATCATTTTTCCGCGAAATTAAACCAATCGTGAATGCCATTTTAGTTTTTAGAAACTTTTAAATGCTTATTTGAAATTTTGAATTCATTTCTTGCAGCGTAGAATTAAAACCGTCGCGATTGGTACTTTTTAAGATATCGTGAAATTTTAACACCGTGGAATTAAAACGATTTTCAACACATTCAAATGTTCCTATTTGCATGTCAATATGGTGAGAAAAGTAAATGGTTGCATGTTTTCTGAAACACCCTGTATATAGTAGTATTTAGCATAAATATTTACACCACAATAAGATGCTTTCTTGTAAAACTTTTGCTGTAAATGTATGCATCCAATGAATATCTAATAAAATCTGTAAAAAAAAAAGCCGTGTGAATGTTAAATTTTTTAAAATAAGAATTTATTTATTAAAGAAATATAATTTGTGAATATTTTTTAATTTGTGGTTAAAATCTACTTAAAATCAGTCAGATATGGGGAAATATGATCGTTAATCATATTTATAAAAGAAATTGAAATGATAGATTTTAGAGAAATTAGTATTTTTATTTTGGCCAGTTCCGATCACAATTATACCGATCCCAACCATAATTGTACAATAATTGGAAATAAATAAATATTTTTCCAATGACATTAGTCTGATTAGGTGTAATAAGGGTTCACATTATTGAGCTTGACAATAAAATGGATTTCCTCATTGTAAATTCATAAAGAGCCTATGAATTTATTTTATTCATTTGTGTCAATTTTGATCGGGATTAGTTCGATTTTGATCGGGTTAGGTTCAAATATTAAGAAATAATTTCTCTAAATTTCTCAATTTCTTTTAAAAATATGCTTGACAATCAGTTGCGATTAGATTTATTGTGGTTTAACCATAGGTTTAAAAAAATATTTACACATAATGTGTTTTATTTCCATCAAAAATATTTCTATAAAAAAGTGTAACCAGCCTTTCTTTACATATTTTATTAGATATCCATATGATGCATTCATTTACAGCAAATTTTTAACTCGAAGACAACTTATTTGGATTTTTTTTTTTCAAATTCTTTTTAAAAATTTTTAAAAATTCATATAAAATGATAAAGAGCTAATATCGGGGTTTCAGTGCTGAAACCATTGTTTAAACAGATTAACTCAAAGATGTATAAAATTAAAAGTTTGGTGTGACATTCCACCTAAAGCAGAAGAATGTTAAAATACCAGTGCAAAGAATTTTGAAAAATCCATTTCAAATTCTTAATTTCAGATACACTTTCCGAAGATCCATCAACAGTATTAACAAATAATCAGCGTGTCGTTCTGTACACTTTGTTTTTGTGTTGTAATGTGTACGGTGAGATCCCAAAGAACAGCACAGATGACAACGACGTATCTATGGGTGACATTAATGTAAGCAAGACACTGGAGGAGTTGAAAGACATGGAATTGATTAGAAGTGACAGTAATCAACTGATTATATCACATGAAAAGCAAAGTCTCATTATGAAATCATACATAGATGATTGCTTGCTGAGTGACATAGACAAGGACTTTTACCTACAGGTGACCTCAAACTTCTCTGTTATTGTGTATGAAGAAGAGTTTATATTTAACAGGCATGTTTCTAGAGGTTTACAAAGTAATTGTCCCATTACCTTGATGAGACTACTAGTCGAGATCCAAGCAGAGAAAATTTATGATATAAGAATGAAATCAGGTATGTAAAGACCATTACTTTATTAATAGAATTATATGGATAATAATGCTAATGTTAAATAGTATTTACCTTGTAAGTGTACGAGGGTTGATCCAAACGTTCGTAAAAATTCGTTCTAAAATTTTAATTTTATAGTGATTTCATAAACGCCAACAACAGGCATATTTATAATATATGGTCACAAAGCAACAATATTGTAAAATGTTCTTTCAAATTTTCAATAAGATCACACGAGCTTTCGCAAAATGGTTGTGAAAAATTGATGTGAAACCCGGAAGTTTAAAGTGTCACGTTATAAAGCATCTCATCCTAATATCCACTTCGAATACGTAATTCTACAAATACTACCATTTTCTCCATTATTTTTTCAAGTAAAGTCTGGGTATCCTAGGCCTCTTGCAGCTATCCTACATTCCACAAGGTGTAAAAGAAGATGATGATCCTCTTGCGGAAACTTATCTTCATTTTTTACTCATATTCGAAATACTCCCCATCTTTTTTTATCATGTTCCAATTTCAAAGGCAATGTCAGGAACAGTACGTAAGCCGACAGCATCCGTTAACGCTTTTTAGTTGTCTAGGGGGGATTCACATTTAAAACAGAGATTAGCACCAAAGGGTGGCCTCACCTTTTAAAATTATAGTGCATGGATATTCAATGTTTCTTAAATTTCTTATGCCACTGGAAGACCAGTAACTAAATGCATTTTATCTAGCCTATATCAAAAATATACGCGTTTAAGATAGAGAGGTTTCGGGATTTTCAACAAAACATGACTTGACCGACATTTGACGAAGTATTTCAACTTAAAGATGAATAATAAATCAAATATCCAGTAAAATCAGTAAAACTCTCATAGAAAGGTTTATATAAGATTAACCAATCGTGATAATGGCATAATATTTGTTTTATATACAACATAGGGTGATTTTATTTTCATTTCACCTATCAAGGATTAAGATGATGAGAAGAACGTTCATCTCTCCCTTGCATTTCTAAACAACTGTTTCTATGGCAACTGTCACAGAGGTGATATCATTAATAGTTAAAATGCTGTTTCAAATTTGAAATACTGAACAATTTACATTTGTAATTTTCCAGCACATACACGTATAAATAAATCAATAAATAAAATATGAAAAAAGTCCACGAACTTTTTGCGTCAACACTCGTATATGCATCTAAAATTAAGATTATATCGAACATTTATATACACGTATTACTGATCTTTCATTTAATTTATCCCTTAATATCTTCAATGAATTATATAAATCAGAAAATATCAGTTATTAGGTTATATTTTTAATATATTTCCGACATATATATGGTAGAATTATCTGTCCAAAAACTTTGTGCGAGTTATGTCCGTTTACACGAAACGGTCAAACAAGCTACAGTCGCTGAAACGTCTTGCGTCAGATAAAAGGGAACTGAAACAAAAACTTATATTTCCGATACAGCCATGGTTTGTTCATTTTAGTTTGTCTTTCCGAGGATCCAAACATATGCCAAATTTTGGCAATTTCGGATAATATTAATTACTGGCCATTTAAAAACTCAAAGTTTTGTGAGAGACATAGCTAAAAAATTAAGTGGACAAAAACATTTATAAACACTAATGAGTCATTAATACTAAATATGTAATTCACTTTTTATTCACGATAACTTTTATTCGTGTAAATACTCGAGTCTGTCTGATTGCGAATTTTTTTCTAGCGTATATTTGAATAATTATTATCTTCATAAAACGGAGGTCTCAGTTTGCTTGAATTTTGTCTCGTTAATAAATACCAACTAGATATAAATCGCGAGAATATACCGTTCCTCTCTGATTCAGCTTTCCGTAAATACCAGTCTAACGTAATTTGTTTTTGTTTGCTTAATTGATGATAAAATTGTCTTTACCCTAGCAAATGTATGATTTGGCTGAATATTACAAACATTTTTCTTGCTTTATAAATTAGGACCAAACATTCTCCCTCCTAATATGGAAATGGGGGGTATTTCAAGGAAGTTAAGGGATTTTGTACTTAGATGGTGTCGGCTGAAAAACATAGTGGACCCTATAGCTTGGGCTGACAATCTCCCTGATGAAGGAATAAAAAGATTTTACTATGGGAGCACAATATGCCCACTTAATGATACAGGTTGGTATCCAAATGACAATTTTGAATAGAATTAAAAAAATAATTTTAGTGCTTAATAATAAAAATGTAAACGCTTTCATTGATTTCTTCTGACGTTTTAAAGAATTTTAATTTTTAACATAATATCGTCCAAACCAGACAATGACGTCACAATACTAATAGACGAAACTTAAATGAGTTTAAGGAAAATAGCATTGTAGTTGCATACAAATGTCTACATTAAACAAAAATATAAAAATCAAATTTTAAGTGATTGATATAATAGTATTGTAGAGTAATTCTTTTCTCATCTTTACACTAGATTGTATAAAGTTGATGCATGTATCACGATGTCTGATTAAATTTATATTTCAGAATTACCTTCATATTTATGCATTATATATATATATATATATATATATATTGATTCAAATTAATTTTTAATAATATCTTTTACATTAAAACACTTGCACACAATTCATTTACAAACAAGAAAAAATTGAATGATTGATTGTATAGTGTTTAACGTCCCTCTCGAGAATTTTTCACTCACATGGAGACGCCACCACTGCCAGCGGAGTGCTGCCAATTCTGTTACTTGTCATAGAGCAGGGAGGGATTTGCCAGCACCTACTGTTCAAATATTTAAAATTTGATTGAAAAGAAAAGAAAAGCGAATAACGGCAATACAAGAATTTCAATCAGTTATGTCGAGAAAATAGATTTTCCTTCAATTATAATAATAAAATTATCTTTTTCTTCTTAAAATAGGAACTTCTTAAATTTCATTTATTGTGTAAAAATCTCACAACAATATAATCGAACTATTTATATATCATTTCTGAATTTCAGAATAAACCAAAGATTAAAATATCGGATCGTTGCGAGCAAGGAAAGATTTTCAGTCCGAAAAATGTTCCTAGCATGTCATATTCTTTGCATATGCTTGCAAAGAAATTTGATGTAATTCTCTAAAAATGAGGAATAATATTTCTTTTATTTTAAATAAAGCGAGTGTTTGTATAAATGTCCTTTTCACAGTATGACTTGAACTCATAGATTTTAACTGAATCGTTCACTGGATGCGCAATTGTTCCACTGAAGTTAAAAAAAAAAAACAAACAAATGAACTACCTCATGAAAGTTGGGATATATCAAATAATTTTCACTTAATCATCAATATCATCATTTTCACTATCGTTGCCATCATTTTATAAAGGTTATGTTACTCTAAAAGTGGAGCGAGCGTTTATTTCAGCATAATTTTACAGCCTGATATAAAAATAAATAATGATATGGACGATAACATGTGCTGTGAGTTAAGGTACATATTTAAGCCGGTGACAATTAATACAGGATGAAAATAAGCACCAGTGAAAATGGGTGTTTCTTAAAATCATTTTGACTTTTATTTCTGAGCTACTTTTAAGTTTGTAATAATTAAGGTATGGTGAAATGTACTTAGGACACATTAGATATACTTTACCTACTATAACAATTTACATAATTGAAAACCCTAGAAAATCAAAGAACTACATATTTTCAAATGTCATTCTTAAACCATTATCTTTTTTTATTTGTTTCATAAAATATCTTCAATATATATAATTTACTTCAAAAAATACTTTTAGTGATTGAGGGTCTTTACCAAAATCCCTTAAAATCAAGCATACTTTGTACCATCTTGACGGCGGAAGACTATAAAATCAGTGCAGATGCTATCAAAGAGAAGAACACGGATGTTGTGAAGGCTTTTCCATCGTTGTACCACACAGAGTTAGATTTATTCTTGGAGACAATTGAGGAAATGGAAAAACGTGACCAAAGTTTATCAGTAGAAGTAGAGAACAATGTTATTGGCTTTAAATCAGAAGAGGTCCGCCATCAAGTAATGTGTTACTTTGTAACAAATTGTTTGATAACTGATGAGGACTTTGTAAAGTACATCAACCTGTCCTCGGTCGATTCTTTGTTAGAGTACGTACGTACCTGGTGGTACGTTAAGGGCGAAAATGAGCGATGTCTATTTTTACCAAACAAGATGGAGGCTGCATTTATTAAGGCACTTGGGTTAGATGCAATACGCCACGTTATGGTGGAGAAAACGGCATACATTGATTCTCTTGTGACTGCAGAAATAAGGAAAAAAGTTATAATGAATGGTAATATATAATTGTTGAAGATTTATTTGTTGATAAACAATAAATAATATCCGTTATCTTCCCACACTAAACCATAGGAATATCTGTAACTTGAAAACATTGCCTATTCTTATCAATCATAAAAAATTTTATAAAATCTTATTATTACAATGTATATGATATTAAGATTATGATGTTTTTAATCATAATTCTCATGTTTTTCATCAGGATAAAAGTGTATTTTACGAGAGTGTCTCCAAAAATATCAATAAAATTCTGTAAACCAAGTTTTTGTTTGCGTATGAAAAATTTTCGCGAGGTTAGCGAGAGCCTCATCTTTGCGAATATTTTTCGCTGCTTATTGGAAGTTAAAAGTGTGTGTGTCTATTAACAACACATTTAAAAGGTTTGATCGCGAAAATTATTCGTCGCGAACTAGTTAAGCCCAGGTAAATCGTGAAATAATGTCGTCGCGAATAAATGTTGGTTTACATTATGTGAATACTTTACAATGGGCTAATTATCTGCTCACTAAACTCTATGTTCAAAATTGAGCTAATTTTGTCCATTTTGTTTTCTTTCATAAAAATAACGGCAGATCAAATAATTTGGTGACGCCAAAACAAACAAAAAAAAATTTGCCGATGCAATACTCTATATTTATGATATTTATGTTGATTAAGGTTTTCTATATAATGTGTACAATTATGTGCTTTCTTAACAAAAATTTCTTAACAAAGTTAAAGACTCGGGTATACATGTGTAAAACGGGAAATATATTTCAAATTTAATTATTTTAAAACCGTATTGTCTGCAATATAACCCAATTATACAACAAATTTAGCATATATGCATATATAATACTCAATAATGTTCCAGATATATGGTAATTATTTTATACATTCCTTAGATTTATCATGTAATCATGTATAAGGGAATATTCTTTGAATTATTGTTCTATTAGACGTTTCATACAGAGGGCAGATAACTTAGTATTCACAGTCATGTGCAAATATTGATAACTTACGAAATGGTGTAAATGAAAGAACATACCATAAATCCTGATGTGATAAAATAATGCCATCTTTTTAATAGACTTTATCAATCTGTTTTAGGCTCAATGACCCAGTATTGATGGAAAATTCTTAGATAAAAAAGTATTTATAGTGTACTTTTTATAATACAAGAGAGCTTATGTAAAAAAATAATGTTAAATTTGTGTTTTAGTTAATGTGCCGGAGGAAATTCTTGACTGGGACTATGATGCAAGATTAAGGTTCATAGAATGTACTAAAAAAGGGACGCAAACGATACATAGAGCCCGTGCAATGATCTTAGGATGTGCAGGGGCTGGGAAAACTACTCTTCTTAAACGTTTACAAAATAAAACCTTAGCAGAATTAAGAAATGTGACATCAACTGTAGGACTCGAGGTGTACGAAGACATCTTTGAAGTTTTACGAGACCAAGGCTGTTTAAGAGGTTTGTTTAAAATGACACAAGTAAAACCATTTTTATATTGATAATTATAAACTGATCACAAATGTACACGTAATAATTGATAGAGTTACTGATATTTATGACAATTAACTTTACATGTAACTCGCTTTTTTATTCGAATTCTTATAAAGTTGTTAAGAACATGTTTTGACGTTTTCACATTTTCTTGATATCTTTGTCAACAAAAATGTGTAAAAGAATGAATGCAACAAAGTCTTCAAGATAAGATGCATTGGTATATAATGTATGAATACTACTTCTTGTGCACTTTTTGAGGACTGTCCCTCATGCAATCTACATTCTAAACATCGGTTCCTAAATGTGACCCCCTACATTTTCTTGTAAGCCTAATAATAACATGTTCAGGATAATCTGAATATTGCCTCGTATTAACCTCATATACACATTTGAAATACATATACAACATGATACATTTTATTGTGAACTGTAAGCTTATTTAAATCAGAGCTTATTTAACGAAGTATCTTTTTTTTTTATTAAATCAGAGATTATTTATATTTTTCCCTTATCCCTTAAGCTCTTGCAGAACATTCAAATAAGGAGGGAAAGGAGCTTCTAAGTATCATGGATTTTGGAGGACAGTGTGCCTACTACGCCTGTCATCAAGTCTACCTCAGTAGAAGAGCCTTCTATATTCTTGTGATAGATATGTCGAAACAATTCAAAGAGAAGGTTGATAAGAAGCTGTGTGACCAGGCTGGAACCATGTTTACTGACTGGACATACGGAGGTACGTATGTTTTGTTATCTGCAAATACCTTAATTTTAAAATATTAATTGATTTGACATCTACCAAAACTAAATAGTAGTAGGAAGTAATGTTAAATCATGTAAGCTTTTAAAATCTTTGTTTTTCTCCTGACAATCTAGCTGGCGGAAAAACGTTTGGTATGAAAAAATTAAGATGCTACATATTTACAAAATAAATACGATTTGAAATTGTTAAGTTGAAGGTTGAAACCTCGAAGTACACATGGGGCTCGGTCAGTCAAATATTGAAGTCATGCAAATCAGTAATAGATTCCTTATTAACTGATATAAATCTCATACAATTTTCCCTAATATGCATGTGAAATGTCAGGTATGTGTTTAACATGATAATTATGGACTTTTCTTATGCTTCAAAAATAGTAAAACTAGGGACTTGGAGATAATATAATACTGTATACATGGAAATATTCACCCCATTTTATTTTCACACTTTTTGCCCTTGTCTGAAGTGAGCAAATTTAAAATATCTTTTATCATTTATCTCAGTATTATAAAGACAAAAATCTTTCTGGGTGAATTCAAAACTGAGAAAAATTGTTTCCAAATATGAGAGGGTAACAAATGAATTCAAACACTTGGCGAAAATAACATTGTATATAGTTAATGGATATAACTTAAGTTAAGTTGGTGGGATAATCTCTTCCTGAGTTATTTTAAGTGAAATTGAAGTAAAAATCCACCATTCGATCTATATTTTCCATTCGAACACTTATGCTACATTAAACTATAAGCCTACAACAGCAGAATCATGCGAACGAGATTTCAAGCGTAGAAATAAAAATAAAAACAAACATGATAGCGAAATGAATAAAATTTTTCTGATAAAATTCTACTTTTTTTAAGGACTGATTTTATCATAAGAAGCTTGTGGCAAGGCGCTCGCTTCCTTATCTGGAGGCCCAGCTTTATTTTTTGATACATAAAACGTATAACAGGTAATAACAAGTAATAACTTTTTCTTTGTCAAGCACTCGGTCATGATATTGAAAGTCACGGGTTTTTCGGATATTCTCCATGACAATGAGGGCTGAATATAAGGTTTAAGTTCGAAGCCCTTCGTTGGCATACGGCGACGTCTTATGAGAACAAAATATTCCGATCGGACTTTATATACAATTAAGTTATTAATTATCAAAAGTCATTATTGTTTTAAAACAGAGTACCTCTTGTTCTGGATGAAGTCCATCCATATATACAGTGCTGAAGATGCTCCAGTTATACTCGTTGGTACTCATCTGGACAAAACTAAAGGACAAGTAAGATATGAATCATCGAAAGATTGCTTTTAAACGTTTTTTTCTTAAACATAGAATTTTCATTAATTCATTTTTCTATTGCTACAGATATTTCTTTTCTAATTTCCTACGAATCCTTTATCTTTGACCTTACATTTTTTTCAACGCAATGTTTTTCAAAGGGAGGTATAAACTGTAATGTGTATATCGACTTTTTTCTGATACAAGAAAAGAACTAAAAAGTAGAAAGTGCTTTTCTCCATCATATCATGTTTATATGCTGTGAGATCAGCAAATGTTCGAATGTAAAATCATATTTTTTTGTCGATCTGACACGTTTCATTCTCTGAAATGAAATGAAGCTCATGTTAATAAAATTCAACATTTTTATCACCACTGAGCACTACAAAAAAGAAAAACAAATGTGATAAGAACAATGTATTTTTTTCTCAAAATAATCCAGTGTTTTACTTATATAAATGATTTGTAGCCTGCTACTTATTCATAAAAATTGTCCTGTAACACGTGCCTGACATTTACGTTGGTAAAATTTTCTTTAAGTATCTTAAGTTAGTTTGCCGGTGTTTTTTTTTTTTTACTTTTTTTGCTGCCTACAAGTAACTCCGCTTTCACAAGTGCACAATTGCATATCACTTACCATTATGGTATTTTCTCTTTTGACCACATATTTCACTATTACTTTGAACAGCTTGTTCTTAGACAATCCACTGTCTAATTCAAAGTCTTTTCCAATCAAAGTCTGTTCTTTTCCAATCATTTACAAATTAACGAATCAGTTTAAATTTCCTGGTACTTCCAGCATTGCTTAAAATTGTTTTAGAGATTGAGAGGTTTTTCGAGGTAATTGATATTCGCTACCAGTTGAGTGCTTCGGCATTATCTTGAGTTTCTCAAAATAAGGTTTTCCTAAATTTATATATTTTAAAAGGAATTTTTAATTGGGTTACCATTTGATTTGTGAAATAGCATTACAATATTAAATGTGAACTTTTAACATCTATTTAGTGTGCCATTATTAAAAGGTATGACATTACACATTCTCAAGTAAATTAGTACATAAACATTGAGATTACGAACTGTATTTAAGAACAAAAGCCCATAAAACAATACAAAACAAGAGCAGAACAGAACCGTAATAGCAGACATTGAAGCAATGGTAATTATCCTGACAAGAAAAAGAAGAGGGGAAGAGGGGGTTTGGTGGGTGTTTTAACAATCCATAATATAGTTTTATTATCCTGATGAATTTTAATTATCAATAAGTTAGAGTAGAAAATAGTAATCAAAGCCTTTGTGTCTCTTACTCTGTTCTGATTCCATTCTTTTAAAATATATCAACACAACTCTTACGTCATCATTAGAATTTATTGTTTGCTGATCTTGCATATTTAGCAACTGTAAACCATATAATTATTAATGAGACATCTCCCTCGTAGTTATAATAAAAACTAAATAAATAAAATGAATGGAGTATTGTTTAACGCCCCCTCTATTTTTTACACATATGGAGATGCCATTATTTGCCATTAGAGAGCAGAAAATTTTGTCCTGTACTCGCCACACAGGGCCATAGACAGGTGGGATCTTTATCAGCACCTATTGCGACACGGAACCTTGGTTTATACGGTCTCATCCGAATGTCTAAAAGTGGGATTAAATCCCGAGAAGTAAGGATCACCTTCTTACTTAGCGACTCTTAAACAGACGCTCTGACCACTGTGCCAAAATTAAATTGGAGTAAAATGCAGATAAAAATATGTACATAGCTCAGTACATAATTTAAAATAAAAAAAAATATGTTAGAAAAAAAAAATCATGGTGTGTATTATAGGAGTTTTATGAAGAGACTTACTTTTACATTCGACAGCTGACTTTTACATTTTAGTATATGGAGTCTGTATGTGTTTAAGTTGTAAAAGTCAGTCGTCAACTGTAAAAGTAAGTCTCTTCATAAAACTCCATAAAGACATTTGAAAAGGGGTGAGGTCAAACATAATTTTTACCTTACCAAATCCCTTAATTATACTGAAGATATTTACTGGCCTAAAGATATTCCTACATGTATTACATATTAACAGATATATAGGCAAAGATATCTTCCATTCGGTTTCAATGTACAAACATCACTGCTTTAGAATTTGATTTTAAGAAAATATTATGAATTAAATACGTATAAATTCAAACAAACATAAATTTATATAGATTTCAAATAGCAATACATTCACTACCTTATTTGAAATACTTATAATTTTACAACAAACATTTTTAGCAAGCTTGACCAGTGCTAACTGCATCAATGCAATTACGCTACATAAAGGTAGAGAAAACATGTATTTCGTTGCTTCCGCTACGGCAACGATTTGTAGCCCCATGGCACCTGATCCCACCTCTGACGTTTTGGGGGTCCGTGTTTGCTTTTCTCTTATTTTCAAAGTCCATAAAACAGTACAAGATAGGAGCAGAGCAAACACAGACCTCTGAAACATCAGAGGTGGGATCAGGTTTCATGGAGGTGTGAGCATCCCCTGCTTGCGGTCACACCCGCTGTAAGCTACTTGTCATGATCGTGAATATCCATCGTCAATTCAGTGTATAAATAATGGACTAACAATTTGTATGAAAAACATTAGTCAGCATTCACATATTGTAAATCAATTTTCAGGATCAATATTTTGATCTAATGTTAAGAATAATCATATCAATGAAATATGTCAATATTTTTCCTGAACAAACTTGCGCTCTAGAAATTTTAAAGTTAAAATTGTTGAAATTTTGTCCATGCATTTTGTCCTCTTCCTGAAAAAGGATATAAAATCGGACTAGTTTGATATGTCATAAAAACAGAAATTGTGAATACATTGCTTTGACACTATCATTTTATTGAATTCAGCACATTTAAGGAAGTTTTAAAAATATGACATTTTGTGGGGGCAAATATATGCAATATACCAAATATAGTTTTTAAGACCTTTCGTAGAACAGGTCGCTGGAACCTGCTTCCATCCCTTTACAAGTAATGCAATTTATATATCTATTTCGTTGGAAAAGGTTTAATTATCCAAACGCGCCTTAACTCAGTCGATAAGTTTCTTCTGCCAAGAGACAATTTCAATTATCCCATCATTCTCATGCAAATGAGTCAATCTCCATTGAAAATGAACGTAAGCAGAATCCCCGGTTGTACAATGGGTTATGTAGTTTTGATATGAATTGATTTTTAAAGTATTATATTGATGTCCATAGTTGAATTTTGTAAAAATTGTAAACCATTTTGTTTACAAATTTTTATATTGTTGTTTAGACTACAGAAACATTCTACGATAGTATCTTGGATCAGCTTCGGTACGACGAAAAACTAAAAGCACATTTGAACAGAAAGAGATGCTTTACTCTTGGAATTCAGGCAAAAGATGGACAGACTCTAGAAAAACTGTCAAGCTTAGAAAAATGCATCGTTTCTATTGCTAAAGAAGATCGATGGAAAGACAGCATCCCAACAGACTGGGCATTTTGTGAAGCTACTTTTAAAGTGCTTAAATCAACAAACAAATTAATCTCACTAGAAAAATATTCCAGAGAATATTTTAATAGCATTCTAGAGAGAAATTCAAATGTTCAAGATGTTTTGAAACTATTCCATGAAATTGGTATTATTTTACATTTCAATGAGAAATCTCTTTCTGAAATTATAATTCTTGACATCCAGTGGTTTGTTGATGCTTTCAAAAATATCATCACAGACTCGAATCATGTCAAAGATGAAGCAAAAAATCACCAAGAATGGAAGGAATTTGACCAAACTGGATATCTCCCCGAAAATTTCCTCAAAAGAATTTGGAAGTCTATGAAATTTGATACAAAAGGCTGGGACAGTTATATTCTTCAGTATATGGAGCGTTTAGGGTTGATTGCCATGACCTTGGACTCGGGTTTGCGTTGCATGTACGTACCCTGCATGAATAAACGAACATTTGATGCTACACACCAAGAAAAATTGAGAAATTATCAACATAAAACATCAGTGTTAGTATTCAGATTCTCGTTTTTGCCGTGGTTTGTTTACTTTCGATTGATTGCTTCTTGTTTGAGTAGAACAGGTGGTAAATGGAGAGTTTTAAATGATGAGGGGATGTGTATGTTCAAAAACATAGCGTTCTTTGAGTATGAACATCACAATATTGCTCTTGCTGTAGACAACTCATCAATACAGCTCCAGGTATTTCAACATGGTAATTCCATTGTCAGAAAAGAAATAACACTTGAGATACGTGACTCCATCGAAAGATTATTAAACGAACTCACCGGAAGCTTTCACAAGAAGATCATATACAGTGTGGGATATCAATGCTCAATGAATGATGTGTATCGTGAATATGATAAATGTTTTGTTGAAGAGAAAGAGATTCGAGGAAAAGGTCATATTGTTTGTCCTCGACATGAACTTATACATCAACACAATCTTTGGGAACCAGATTTCCTTGGATATTGGAAAAAGGTAATTTTAAATGTAATTGATAACTTAAATAACAACGTTTGAACAGCCATTTTTGAGATAATGTTGCAAATCTCAGTTGTACTTATTATATATATTTTTCTACATGTTAGTCTGCATATACCATGTATATTCATGTATATACGTGGATTGATTGGTGGGTTTGGGGGGGGGGCGGGCTTTAAAGTGGCTTGTAGAATTTTCCCATGACCTCTGTAAATTTTGTTTAATTCCTGAAAGTATTAGGTTTCATAAAAATTAAATTTTCATGGGGAAAAATAAAAGTAAAAATAATTTCTGTCTGCCCCAGAACATGGTTGACCCAGAAAAATAAGAACTTTTTTAAATATTTCATTAAGTGTAGCGTAACTATAATTCCTTTTTGTATGAATGAATATATCATTCAACTTTTAGGAAGATATATTTAGTGACACCATTTTGACAAAGATTTAAATCCTTTGTAAGTTTAAATTGCACTTCAAATGTGTTTTATATCAGCCAGCCAGAGCACAACAATTTTTGAACCTATTAAAATAGCTTTTGCAAATTTTTCCCGAGTCTATGCGTGAATATAATATGACAACATAAATTTCAAATTAATATATAGTGTACTGATGTATGAAAAAACATATTTGATTGTAAAATGACAGCCATGTGATATTGAACACATGCTTTTCATCAGATATTTTCAAATTTCAAAAGTTTAAAAAAGTGGGTAATTTTGACTTTAATGTCAACTTTCTTTCTGAACAAAATAAACAATTACCTATCGTATTCCGCATCCAGATACATAGCAATATTTCTAGGACTAACCAGGCCTTGGAGAAAGATGTTTGGACGAAAATCAAACTCAAGAACTTCGACTTATAGGCAATATATGAACAAATATAAAACTCGATGTTGCATCATGGACCTTAGACATACATTGTATCTCAATGTGTAAAAATATATAATGTTTCTTCTCTTTGTAGGATTGTGATGTCCATGTATCTGAAACAGGTCAGTGTCTTCTATTTCAAAAGTTATATGAAAGTAATTTAAGGATTTCCATCCCTAATGGGACCTAATTTCCTACCCTTAAATGTCTGTCAAGTACATAATACACTGATATTATATTAAAGCATTTTATAGTGAAAAAGGATTGCCCGCGAGAAAGATTTAAAAATGTTTTTAATTCAGCAGTAGTTTATCAAAAAAGATTGAATTGAAATGTGTTTTTTCAACATAAAAATTCAAATAATTTGAATATCAATAAATCCTGCGGTGGAAAATTGACAATTGAAAACAATTTTTTTACCGGCTAATTTTTTAAATTGATTTTTTATTAATTAAAAAAGGGGAGATAACTCTTACCAGAACTCAAGGTCATAAAATAGGACACATCCCACTGCACACACTAATAGTAATAAATGGGAAATATGGCTAAATAAACTGAGTATTTAATGCATACATATCAGTTATGTATTTAATTTCACTGAATTTGTTCACATTAGGGATTGAATACCTTAACTTCAGGCTATATATCAAGAACGTCTTAAAAATATTCATTATATCATGAATCTTGTGGTTTCTTAATATTGTTCTTACACTGAGTTCTTCACCGTATTTCTTGAAAAAATAAATACTAGAACAATATGTATAACTAACAACGTAAATGAAAATTTAGAAAATTAAAATGATATTTTATTTTAGAAAAGATAAAAGCCCATGTCCTTGAATATTTCCATTTCTATTTGTTTTTTGGGATAACTCTTTAAAAGTTGGTTTATTCGATTTTTTTATTATTCTACCGGTATGTTAATTCGCCTAAATATACGTCAGGAGCTAAGTAGGCCTAAAGGTCATGTAAATCTCCTTTATTTCCTTTAATGTAAATTAAATCTATTGGACTATAATTTCAAAATCTAAATTTACATTTTCTTTTCACAATAAAAAGGTAGTACATGTATTAGGAATCATTGTCTAGTTAGTAGAGTACGGACTTCGCCAGTTATGCAAATTATCTTACGTTTCCAACTCTCATTGATGTTCCTGGCATACATTGTACTAGACTGACTAGACATTGAGTTTTAAGATAAAGTGGAGTGCATGCATACACATATAGTTTATTGAGGAATTTATGCTACGAACGAAAGTATTGATAGGAGATGAGGATTTGTGAATCATAAAATTTGAATATGAAATGATGTAAAAAAAAAAAACACTGATAAATGGAACATCTCTACATGGTCTAAACTCAATTGAATTTTTTTCGAGCCATTGTGAGTATAGTTCAATAAAAAAAAATAAAGACTCCCCAAACCATTGTAGTGGGTTGCTATGTTTTGGACCCTTAAAATTATCTTTATCGAAAATAATTTATATGAATATTATATAATAATCATATTATATAAATATATTTTCATATTTGAGGAAAAGTGTTCATTTCATTTGATGCATTGACTTTTTTAACGTGTTAGATGCATGTGTAATTCCTACTACATATAAATACAAAGTGACTATTCTCAAGACTTATTTGTTATTTATACAGTTGCTAGTACACCCAGAGACAATTTTATCAAACTTTATGAGGAGGGACTACAAAAATTTCATTTTAAAGCTTTTGAAAAGTTGACAAAAGTTGGACGAAATGCCATGCAGATCTACTTTGATGCGGTATACCCGAAAAAGGACCTTTTGAAATTTAAACTTTCAAAAGCTACCGCTGTGAAGAAAATGTTCCATCTGAGCGACAATCAGTTTGAAAGGCTGTGTCCGAGTATGTATATTTTTGTATTTTATAAAATCTGTCTACACGTTGTCCTCTGCATCTACAATATTGTTATATATGTCCTAAGATTATAATTATGGTGATAAACTAATATAAAAAGAAACAAGATGAATGCCTTTTTTACCCTTTAAAATTGTTTCCTATATAAGTCTTACAGAAAAATAAAAAAAAATGTTTAACTAAGATATTAAAAAACTTGATGTATCAACCACCGAGTGAGATAAATTGCACCTCTTGTGAATTATTTTACAGCGTGTTATATCCCCTCTCCGAAGGAGAGTTAGATATACTGTATTACCGTATTGTATGTCTATCTGTCCGTAACATTTTGTGTCGTGTTTTTAAGCAACTACGCACTGCAGATGCTTGAATTTCTAGTGCATTATTTGCTGAAGCATGTCATGTTGTGAAATTCTTTTTTGCTCATTTTGATGTCAACCTGGTTATCCGTTCATCTGTACATGCCTTTAGTAACATTAAATATTTTTGTCGTAGATCTCTTAGCAACAGCTCATTGCAGATACTTGAAATATTAGCCTAGTCTCTGTTGAGATGAAAAAGAATAATTTGTATGAATCTGATGTCAGCGTTTTACTAATCTGTGGGTCTGGCAACTTTATACTTATAAATGCATCTACCCGTAACTAATCTCGTGTACATTAATATGAGCGTGTTTATATACATCAAAGCGGGGATATTACTAGTGAACATAGACTCGCAGACTTCTTGTTGAATCATCGGATTATGTGAGCATATGTCAAAGATGAGTCAAAAGCATCATTCTTCACTTTTTATTAGGCGATCCAATAAAGAATTTCCTAGACTATTACTGGTGAAATCAGTTTCACTGAGCAAGCAACATCGGCAAAGTCTGTTGAGGTTCTTGAATTATTAAAAGTACCATTGCTCTTGATCTCGATTCCCTAGTACGGAACAATGATCAAAAGCAATTAAGTCTAATTTCTGCAATTTCGGCACGTGTACCATGGACTTTAACGAATATACAGTTTTACACTCTTGTGTGTTTTATAATGTGTTCTTAATTCAAAGTATTTTAAAGCTGTTTGAAATAAAGATTTTCCTGGCAAATTAATGTATTTTTTTAAATATCATGATAAAAGTGGAAGGTATAAGAAAACTTGTATTGGTTGGTTTCGCAGGCTTAATGCATTTTGCAGGACCCTCAAGAGAAAACGACCACAGGAAACAGTTTTGTTCTTGGGTCCCACAAAACTCGGTGTTCCTTATAAGCCAGTCAATCAATATAATACAATATAATCCACAGAATCGACAAATAATTTGATATTTTAGTCTAAGTAGAGCACAAGGGACAGCAGAATTTATGTAACAGAGAAAATAAATAAAGATTTAAATGAAAGTTTATGACAGAATTTTAAAAAAATACACAAAATAAGTGTATGCATTTATAAATGTCAAGGGAGATAAAAAAAATAGGTTCTGCGTTTCTTACTTCCAATCAATATATTAACATAATATTTTGTTCATTAGCTGATAAATCTGATCCGTCTTCTCAATCGTTTGATGTGACAATGATGTACCAGATGCTACGAAACCGTTATCCAAATCTTCCACAACCTACTAAGGGCTGGGGAAAGACTCCAGTTACAGGGGATGAAAGTGAAACTGACGACGTAGAAAGGATCCGGATTTACAGAAACCAAGTCGTTCATGAACCTGATGCAACAAGTAAATTAGAAAAGAGGGACCTGGAGGAGAAAGGGAGAGATCTGACACAGGTAAAGTCAAGATTTAAGAAATGGTCCAATTAATGTTTCGTCTTTGATTCTGATCCATGTTCTTACATGTACGTTTGCAGGAGTATATTTTACGTACTATTTCTAAAACGAGGCAAGCTATTGACAGCTATGTTGCTGATACAAAGATATCAACGGTCCCGTTTGAAGTCAATATTTTGCTAATTCTTTCACCGATAAAATATTAATCTATTCAGAAAATACAATTAATCGAACGTTGGCTGGCCTTTCTCAAACATTCCTCGGGAAATATTTTCACAATGGATCATCTACGGATTTTTCCATTTGCTTGATCGGTAAAAGGAGCAAACAGAGGATGTGACGAGTATGCTTAATCCTTCATGGCACTTGATCCGATCTCTGATGTTTTTGAAAGTCCATATTTATATTGCTCCATTAGTCTTTATTGCTGTTATCCTCATGTTTCGTTAACTCAAATGTACTTTTGACAAGGATGTCATAATATTTTAACGTTTATTATTTTCTTTAAATATAATTATTTTTAGGCCATTGTGAGATTGAGCAAGGGAGACCCAAATATACAGCATGAAATGATGAATGCTCTGAAAAATCCTACATAAGAAATGGACACTCAGAATGGGTAAAATAACATTTTTTATTTACAAAGTTATTGTTCAATTTCAAATTTTGTGAGTAATTGTCTTCATTTTTTTAAAAAGATCGAATTCTTTTATTCAACAAATGAAAAGTGCCAGGATAAAAGAGCGTGTTATTTGTCCTCTCTGATTTCTTGAGTTTATATACGGAAACTCAAAGGAAACGTAACTCCCTTATTCTACAATGTAGGGGGGAATTTATACACGGGTTGGAACTATGTACCAAATGAGTTAGGAGATCTTTAACTTTGCCAAGTCAGTTGTTATACGGCTGAATGATATTCACTCCATTTCCGGAACTTGATTATATCCCTCTTAACAAAAATATAAAAAAAATAGTTAAATATTTGAAAACATTGATTTGTAGTTGTTAATCATGAGGATTGAACTAATACATGTATTACGAAGAAAAATTCTTTCTTGTCCGGATATGATGAGGTCTATATTTTCTCAAAATGACTGAAAGCACGCATTTTCATTTCTAATGCTGGAAATTTTCAAAATAAAGAAAAAGGAGAGCTGCAGATTCAAATATACACTACATAACAACTTGTCAGGCTCATGTGTATCACAAGCATGATTGAGCGACAGTTCTTTGAACGGTAGTCCAAGAGTTACTACATAACGCCAAGTTAGAGAAAATTCAACCGCAGTATCTGACAAAAGGGCATTTAAAAATGCCCGAGAATATTAAATTTGCTTAGATGAAGATAATGATAAACCTAATGCATGGCAGAAATCGAGCTGCATTTGTTGTACATGGCAGACCAGCATGTTTTAATTGAATGAAGGGGGATGTTTTTAAAGTTATGTGTTACTTTCTAAGGTCTAAAGATAACGTTTAACGTTTAAATGAAGTATCACATTTTTGTACACTTACTTTATACCTTAATGTAATCATTTTCAATGTTGTTAATTATCTTAAAAGTAACCATAAAAACCATAAAAGTAACACATAACTCGTAAAACATTAAAAACATTTTTTAAAAAAATCTTCTTCTATAGAACCACTGAGCCAGAAGAGCTGAGACATATGGGGATTTATTAATAAAGTATTCAAAATTACTTTCTGATGTTTCTGATTTTCTAACTTTGTAAGATTTAAGATTTTCAATTTTTCTTAATTTTTCTCGGTTTTTTAATGATCAGCATCTGATAATTACCACTTCTTGAATATGTTGCTATAAAAAAATACCAATGTGAGGAGTAAATAAGGAAATATCACGTAAATTTGTTATGATTGCCGAATTTTTTGTCGCATTACTGATGTCATAAATGATACAATTCCATAGTAAGAAAACAAAAAACAATATTTACTATACGCCGTAGTTTCATTGTACATGTGATATATGTTTATTTTTTTCATAAATACATGCGTTTTTAAAAATATTTTTGCATTCAAGTCATAAAGCTTTTAAATTCATTTTTTTAAATTTGGGTGACAGCTCTATGACAGTGTATAACCTACCAAGTAAAATACCCTAATAATAGTCATATTTTATTTCACCAGAGTTAAATCATTGAGTCAATATGATACTCAATTCGAGCGAATCTAAAATTTGATTGAAACATTATATTCTGTTTTCTTTTGCCTATATTCTTTCAAAACTGATTTATCATATTTGACAAGAACATTTACATCCAGTTTTAAACCCCTTTCAAACAATTCTGCATTAAAAAAAACTTTTTATGGACCATTTTAAAAATACTTTAATATATCAATTATCATTAAAAGAATCTAAATTATAATTAAATTTCCCCTAAAAGATTTTTAGAAATATAAGTTTTGCTAGTGAATGCACTCTTGTCTTGAAGTAACGAAGAGAAATTTATGATTTTGATGTACTGTAATCAAATCAACAAAACATCTCAAAATAATGGCACAGAATGTCATAAAAAATACACGTATCTTCAAACAACTTTATTTTATCTGAAAACTTAATTATTGATATTATTTATTTAATTATTCAGATTCGAATGTTATTTTATTTTAAACGGAAGATATATTTTTCCAGGTGCTGCCATAACATCAACGTCTGTAGAATTTCTTTGGACTTTTTCCTGTACAATTGTATTTAGTATGTTTAGTATGTACAACGAACAAAATGTCAATGAAAACTCTTTTTAAGGTTTATTTGTCTATTGTTTAATCTGTTGTTTTTCAAAAGTTGATGATATGAACGATTCATGTTTAGACGAACCAAATATGATTCATTCGAATTTGACAAATTCAAACATTGTTGCGTTTGAAAACATTGTATTTAGATTTATGCAATGCATGTAAATAAACCACTTTTTGTATCCACTTTATTGTGCATGTGCCTACAAAAATGTTTCAAAAATGTATTCCTTTCATATATGTGTATCAGTTTTATATCCGTCAGCATGGACTTGTTTGGTTAATCTATTGCAAAAGCATTAATTTAATTATTTAATTAATTCTTTATCTATTAATACATTAACAAACGCTTAAAGCAAGCACACTTTTATGAACTTTCAGCAAAGTGATGTTCCTTATTCCATGCCATACATGTATACGGATGTTTATCATTTCGAATCAGGACCCTTTTGATCATATTGCATACATGATTATTAGATAGAACATACAAGTATAATGATTATTACAAAATATGAATATAGTAGTATTCAGTATTATTCTTATGAGTATACATGTACACATGTTAGAAATGCTCAATCAATTTACATATTGTTCATAAGGTGATACATGTAATTGCTATCTAAATGTAATATGTTAAATTTAGAAACGCATTGTAAAGTAAAAAAAATGCCATCGTGTTTCATAAGGCGAAAAAGCCAGAGGTAATACATTAAATCCGTAAACTAAGAGTGTAAAAAAAGACTGAAGTAGAATACTCCTTTTACCTCTTGATAACACGAAGAAAATTTAGACCTTGAATTGTGAAATTCTGAAGTTCTTAAATTCCTGTGTGAATTGATCAAAGGAACAATATGATGTGTCCTCTACATGTATAAAGAATTTTAAATTTTGAAAAATACATTTTTAACACTCAACAAATGTTAGTTTGGTCATAAGATAAGCAATCATGATGACTTATATATTAAATCCCAATGAATCGTCCCTTGCTTATATTATAGTTGAATATATCTATTCAGTATATATAACTTTTGTATCTGTATCACCTCTGGCTTTTTCGCCTTATGAAACACGAGAGCATTTTTTTTTTACTTTACAATGAAAAAAGACGATATGGCTTTCATAAACATTTGGAAACACTCAAAAGCTTCTTGATATATTCCTGAAAAATGACAGTTACAAACAGATTTTATGATTTACAACCCTGACCTTTGAATTTTTATGTCGAAATAAACAGGGGACTTTAAAGACCTAAAGGAAATTGTAAGATAAAAATTCACTGCAAAAGCTTCAATCTAAAGATATTGAGCGGAAACAAAATTGTTTTTAAAAAGACGGAATATTGTTATTTATTACCTTGACCTATGACCTCAATATATCTATTTTAGGCCATAAGGAGTTATTTTTACTAACACATATAGGTCATTAAACTGAGATATTTTGAGAGACCAAATTGATATGGATGCTCAAGGCTTAACATGTCAACAATGTGAATTAATTTTGACTGTTGTTTTGTTCAGTTTTGACACAAATGGGAGTATAATGATAACTGGCATTTGCATGATAAAAACCTACGACATTTCAAAGTTATACACAACCATTCCCCACGATGAATTAAAGCACAGGCCTTTTGATATCATTAACTGTTGCTTTTTTCAATAAAAATGAAACTCTTGAATTGTCCTTCCTTCCTGGCCATTGCAAACATAAGTTCTATGTTGGCATTAAAGAGATGCTTAAGTTTCTGATTGACAATATCTATGTGGTCTCTGGAGACCAAGTCTTCATGCGATCCGTTGGGGTTACCGACGGTTCCCGTTGCGCTCCATTGTGCGCAGACCTGTTTTTGTATTCATATATGACGCAGAATTTCTGCAGAGTCATGCGTAAGAAGAGAGCACTTGCTGTGGCCTTAGGCTTGGCATTTGAATGAATTGACGACGTATTGTCCATTAACAAGAGTGAATGTGAAATTATTTCGAACTATTTTATTGCATTGTTGCCAATGTATCATTGAGTACTGGATAATGCTTGTAGTCATCGGAACTTTTTCAGTTACATTTTTACAAAGGTTTGAGAAGTATGACTGTTCTCTGTAACTTATTAAACATCTGAAATGTAAAACAAAAAAAAATTAATTTAAGATAAAAAAAAAATAAAGGTTAGAATATCCGCTTTATGAAAACACAAAAAGGGAATTTAAATAATCTTTGATACAGCTTTTAACTCTTTGGGTATTTTTTAATGATTCTATTTTAATATAGAAAAATATTTAACTTTTCGATGTACATTTGGTCACCTTCAATCACTTCTGCATTAAATCTATAATATAAAAAGCTAACCAGGATTGTAAGATTTAAGAGAAATTGTGATATTGCTACATTTAAGTATAAATTTAAAAAAAAAAATCCAACATCTAACCTTTGACATTTTCAACATATTTTGTTTAGATTTTATTTTTAAAAAATATACATGTATTTTTTCAGCTTTCATCATTCAGATAACAATTTTCATTTGCTGTTTTTTACTAAACATTCACTCATTAATTCATTCTTCTTGTTATTCCATAAAAGTATTTGTATCACCAAGATATATCATAAAAAATGTATATTCCTATGTTTTCTTATAATTCTTACATTTATCTTTCAAATATTTTTTTCTCAAAAAAGATCAACCCTTTTTGAACGGGATGTCCTCCAGTTTTAATGGAAACATATATTTTTCAATTGCATGGTTTATACAAATTATTTTGTTTACTTCGAAAAACATACCCGTATACATGATATGAAACTATTTTTCTTATAAAATGAAGGTATCTAACATTTGGTATACATACAAGTGCAAATAATAAACAGAATATTTCTAATCATCATGATCTCATTTATTTAGCAATCATCTCTTAAGGAAAATAAAATTTCAGCACATTATTTACATATATTCGATCATTTTTACTTTACCACTGTTAAACTCGGCCACAACGAGTTTGTCTCTGGTGTCTACACATAAACCCCATGGATACTTTAGATCACAGTTATCAATGTAATGAAGGAACTGTTCGTCCTGATCAAGAATGTGGATACAGTGGTTGTTACAGTCTGCTGTCAGGATCCGACTCTGGCTGTCTATTGTGATGCCAAGTGGATCAAATGATCCCTTGGTAGTAGAGGGATGACCAGTGTATCTAAATCGGAGCTTTCCTGCATAATTAACCACTACTACTGCCTTGGCTTTCTGGTCAGCCACACAGATATCTAGGTTCCTGTTCTCACTGATGTGTTTAAGGTAACCCGATGAATACAGAGGTTTACCTTCACTATCAAACTGAATGGTTTGTTTCTCTATGGAGCCAGTGTAACGGACAACTTTTGATTGTTTATCATCGCTGTACATGGTGACTAACAAGTCACCAGAGGAGGTACCATAGACACAGTAAGGTTTCCAGTCCTGTAGTCTGATCACTTGCCATATCTGTTTATTCTTCACTATGTTTACAGTTCTTGTATCAGGGTCAGTATAAACTAGATCTCCACTCCTTGTCACTGTGATATCACCTGGCCATTTCCCTGATTTGGTTTGGATTAATTTCAGAAGTTTGCCCTGGAGGTTGTAGAGTTTCATCATTTTGTCTTGTCCACATGTCCAGAATTCCTCGTCACTTTGACAGCTAACGCCGCGTGGGATATACCCTGTATTTATCGTGGCAATGACCTTTGATTCATCAAGCAGTGGTTTTTTTTGGAGGACAATATACACCTTCTGGTGTCTCCAGTGAGAAGACATGAAAAGATTTTCTCGAATCATAAGGCACCACTTCATGCTTCTTGGACTTGTCAGAGATGTGTTCCACCATACAAGTCTTGCACAGATTCATGTAACAAAAGTTACAGTACATTTGTACAACTCTGTCTTTACATAAATCACATCTGATAATGTCCTGGGCACAAAATTTAGGATTCATATTAACAGATTGCTGAAAAAACGTAAGATTTAATCAATATTATTGAATAATTTTAACGTAAAGACTATAGTGTAAAACAGCATGCACGTTAACAAATGACATTGTGTGTTAAGAAGGAGGAGGAAATGTGATTTTTACCTGTTAAATATTTTCCTTGTAACGGCGTGAACTTAAACTGTGGCTGCAATGATTTATCAGTAAAACAACAGTTGACTTTTTATAATCATAGATAAATTATCTTATACCACGCTTACATGAACTTTGATATTAAACTGACACGCTTTTGCTTTTATCTGTTTCTATGTTGTTTTATTTTTTATTCCCAATTTGATAATATTTATGTACATCATATTAGCTTAGTTGTTTACTGTTGACCTGAAATGTACTTTTTGTAGTGTTTTACTATTAAGCATAAATTTTCAAGAGAAGATAAAAATTTTCACCATAAAAAACTGTGTACAAAATTTACCTTAAATACAACTTGTAGTCATTAGGCCAATATCTTGCTGATTAATGTAATACTATCCTGCAGAGACGAAAATTACCGATTCTTCGATTTTCATTTTTTTATGTGTAATTTCATAAAACCAAAGGCAACTTTAAAAAAAATTAGGAGTTTCAATCTTGTGAATTACAAAGTTTCGGGGTATATAGTGATCACATGTCCATCTGGCTGTCCGTCTGTCAGGCCAATATCTTTCTTATGGTGGAATATTTGAATGTACAACTTCACACAAAGATTATTCATGACCACCAGGGTGTGACATGGCCTTAACTCAAAATCATTTGGGCAAGTTCAAGGTCATTAAAAGAAAAGATTAATAATTTGTGTCCAGTCCATATCTTTCTTAAGGATAAAATTGGTGGGTTCCTATTTTACACAGAGTGCTTGACCTCAGGGGTGTCAAGCCTTGACCCAAGGTCATTTGTGTAAGTTCAAGACAGTTATAGTTAAAGTTCATGATTCATTTCTGGGTCGGTATCCAACAATTGAATTTGGTTTTGTTTTAAACCAACCCGTACGAAATTCAGAGACGTATTACGCCTGGATTTTTTGCAAATCCTGGCGTACAAGAGACGTTTTCTTATAAATACGGTTCATTTTCAGGCGTACACGTATTTTTGCCAGAAATACGTCTCCTTTTTTCCAGGTGTAATTTCTAAATCCGGGCGTATTTTCTACTTAGTCTCTTTGGCACAAGGAATTTAAAACTTAGAAAATTTCAAAAGGCGCGTATTTTTGAAAATTCTGGTGGATTTTTCAACTTATAGCCAAAAAAACTTAGTCAACTCATTCTCTTTTTTAAAAAGTATTGAGTTACATAAGAAACATTTTTATGATATTATATAACTGAAACAAAAAACAAAATATTGCATAATATACATTACAATATTGCATTTAGTTTGTAATTACCTATATTAAATATTATTCAAAGCTTATTTTTCATAAATTAAACTGATTTTTTTTAGAACTTTGTCCCATGGACCTGAAATTTTGTCATTCCCATTTTTTTTTTAAAAATTGATATTATTTTTCTTAACACAAATGATTTCTATAACTGTAAAGTAAATAGTATATATTCTTTGAACTTCATGATTTGTTTAGTCAGGCTATAAACATACATGTTATTACATCATTTTAATGTTTTTTTATAAAATGCTTTATATTTGGTATATTCAGATACTATTACATTACCATCAACTTTCACTTCCCTAGCCTAACCTGCTGGGATTGTGGTAATTACTTACAGATGTGTTGAGCATGTTTAGGAACAACTTATCTGTGATGTTGTAAACCTTTCTAAGAACAGCTTATCAATTTTACATCCGGTTTGTGTGCAGTTTTATTTCCCACCCTAATCTTTAAAATAAGTGAATTCATATAGTGAATACACCTTGTTTATACACTGATGGAATTTAATTTTATGTTGTGTAAACAAAACAGCATTTTTTCTTCAATTTACAAATTGTACTGAGTAGAACTTCCAGAAATCATAAAACTGTTTAGCTAACTAGGGGGTTGTAAACAACAGCATCTGCATCCAAGTATTTGCGCCAATTTTAAACCACCAGGCAGGTCATGCCAAGAACAATGAGATTAGAGAAAGCCACAACAAAGCACAGATGGTGTAGAAGAGGTAATTATTTTGAAAACATAGCTTAACATTGAAACTTTTTATCTATGAAAATAAAAGACAGCTGAATTTGCTTTTGATTTGCAGAGCTTGAAAATTGGGTCAGTAGTATTTTGAATTGCATAAATTATTTTCTAGTGTTTTTCTTTTTCCAGAAAATGATTTACATCTAAATCCTTATCACAGTTGAAAAATTGATTGAATGATGAAAGGGTCATAAGAGGAGGAGAAAAGATATTGCAATATTAAGAGTTGACCAGCAGCATTAAGCTTTCCATTTTATTGCAATATGCCAGTGAACTGCAGCCACTGGAAGATATTTGCATCAGGAAGAAGAAGACTGTTTGCAATGCCAGTTATAAAACATTCAAACTTCTTTTTGTGAATATTTCAATCTATGAAAATGTGATTGGGGAATGTGATGTGAAACGTGAATGACAGAATCGCTTGTGATTTGCATCTTTTATGCCAATTTAGGAGTAAAAAGAATGACAGGAGTACTCAGCATGATTCTCAAAACTGTGATTCACTGTGATTACTGGAATGTTTCAACTGTTTTACTATAAAACTCAGCCTTGGATGTTAAAATGCTGTGAAATGGTTAATATAATTCTTACATGTAACTGTGCTTTGAAATAGTAAATGTAAGATTATGATTTTTTTAATTTTAATGACAATCCTTTATTTGAATTTCATACACATTTTATCACACTGAAAAAATATTCAGAAAATAAAAGTGATGTATGCTAAGCTTAATTTGTCTAATCTTTTTTAGTATATGTAGTCAAAAATCTTTGTACTAAAGTTGATTGTACATTTATATTCATGCTATAGTTGTAGCTCCCATTGCAGTAATATAATTAATATTTAATTCAAATTTATTTAAAGCAGGCGTATTTTTTGTACAGGCGTATTTTTTTGTACGGGCGTATTCTTTAATACGGGCGTATTTATTTTGCAGGCGTATTTTTAAGAGTATGCTTGAAATCTAGGCGTAATTCTATTATTAAAATTTCCAGGCGTACTCATTTGCATATTTCGGCCAAAAATACGGGAGGATTACGCCTCGTGTACGCCCGTATTTTACATTATACGCCTGGTTTTATATATTCATTTCAATAGAGATTTCCACAAGGATTTTTAGATTAAAAAAAGCATGTATTTTTTGAAAATACGTGACTTAAATTTCGTACGGGAGAGGCCATGAAATTCAAAATTTTGAAAGAGGCACCATTGAATTTCATAATTATAAAATTAGCATGCTTATTTTATTTACTTAATACCCAGAGGTAGATCAGAGTAAAAAAGAGAAAATGCACTTCCACTTTGTAACCATTTGTGCACCCCACCAAAAAGGAACCACTGACCCTCAGAAGCCACATATTTCTTCATCATAAATAAAAATACTTGGATCATTAGCATAAAACCCAGGAGCAAAGGAAAAGATTGTCCAAAAATTAATGCATTTTCACTATATAATCAAAAGAGCCCCCTACACCAAATGGCAAAACCCATGACACAGGGGCCATGAAATTCATAAATTTGGTTGAGGCATTATAATTTTATACTAAGTTAGTTTGATAGCGAGGGGCAGAGAAAAAGATTTTCAAAGAATTAATGCATTTTCACTATATAATCAATAGAGCCCCGCCCTAACACCAGAACCCCTGACTCTGGGGCCATGAAATTCACAATCTGGATGAGGCACTCTTGCTCATCATAACTATTAGTTGTTAGTTTATTTAATACCCAGGACCAGAGAAGAAGATTTTCAAAGATTTAATGCATTTTCACTATATAATCATTAGAGCCCCGTTCTAACACCAGAACCCTTGTCCCCGGGGCCATAAAATTCAATATTTTGCAAGAGGCACTCTTGCTCATTATAACTATGTACTTAGTTTATTTAATACCCAGGAGCAAGGAAGAAGATTTTCAAAGACGTAATGCATTTTCACTATATAATCAATAGAGCCCCGCCCTAGCACTAGAACCCCTGACCCTGGGGCCATAAAATTCACAATTTTGGAAGGGGCACTCCTGCTCATTATAACTATATACTTAGTTTATTTATTACCCAGGAGCATTCAAAGAAATAATTAATGCATTTTCACTATATAATCTGTATAGCCCTGTCCTAGCACTAGAACCCCTGACCCTGGGGCCATGATTTCACAATTTTATTAGAGGACTCAATGCTCATTACATTCATGCTAACAGTTTGCCTGCTTGAAGTCCAGGAGTAAAGAAGAAGATTTTTTAAAATTTCATTAATTTTAGTGGTTTTGGCCCCACCCCTCAGGCCCCAGGGGGGGTAGGGACCATGAAATTCACAATTTTTGTTCCCGCTTATCCATAGATGCTGTATACCAAATTTGGTTGAAATTGGATCAGTGGTTTCAGAGAAGAAGGTGAAAATGTTTAAATGTTAAACACATGACACACGACACACATAAAAACGGATAGCAATAGGACACCTGAGTGACTCAGGTGACCTAAAAAGGTTGCTTATAATTATGACCTGAGGATGTAACAAAATCCTTACCAAAACTCACTGTAGAAAACAAGATGTGTTTGTGAAACACTGATGCCCCTGTATGGCAAGGTATACCAAAGGATAAACTTTTTGAAATGCATATGTACATCGAATATGTTGGTTCCCAAAGTAAGGTGTTCTCACATGAAATACACTTGTGAAATATTAAAACCCAATAACTAGTACCACCTGATCATAAGTTATGGCCAAGGTTGAAGCTTTTTTGAAAGAAGGTCAAACTTAAAGGTCAATGTCAAAGTTGTAGGTATATAAAGTAAGATAACATACATGTATTTACAGATGAAATCCCTAACCCTAAAAGAAGAAGGTATAGTTTTAGCTTTATTGCACCCTAAAAATGTAATGACATCAAAATGTTTTGAAACTGGCTTAAATATTAGTTAAATAAATGACTCTGACAAATCAGGTAAGAATATCACATGAAGGTTTACCATTCTGCAAATATGACGTCATTAATGTGAAGCATTTCTCTACTTTGAACAGAAAAAGCCTCAAAATGGCACATTTCAAGGGTGATTTTCATCAAGAAAACAGTGTCTACAGCCGTCGCCCACTTTAATTTTTTGATATTTTGTGCAAAATTCAATAACAAATCATATATATCTCAAGATCTTTGTGGGCGATGCCTGTGGACAATGTTATCTGAAGAAAATTCCATTGAAAATTGGTGTCTTCTGCAGCTACGGGGAAATTCACGTTTATGACGTCAAAATAAGCATTTAAAAACACATGTGAGAAAACTAACTTGTATGATTTTTTTCTGCACTGAATTTCAATTATTTAAAAAGCATGAGTTTTCAACTTTTACACCAGTGTCATTTTTTTTTAGAAAATCACAGGGCAAAATTTGTATGGAAACCATACCTTCTTCTTTAATGACAAAAGTAATGACCAAGGTTAAAGTTTTTTTTTAAATGGGACAAATTCCAAGGTAAAATAAAATAGTCAACATTATTGGCACCCAATGAATGGTCATGTCACAATTACATGCGTAAACTAGGAGACTTATTGTTCACAGAACAATAAGAGGTCTTTCCACCTTCTTTGATGTTTTCAATTTTGTTTATTTGACTCCTTAAAATTAAATTCCATGAATAAAAAAACCAAAACTGTCTTAACCGATAGAAAAAATTAAAATTAAAAAAATTGAAATGACCTTGACCTTTGACCTTCATAAAATGTCAAGGTCAAAGGTCAAGGACACAATGCAATTGACCCCATGCTTTTACCACTTATAGTTTTCAAGTTATAAGATTTTATATTAAGTACAAAGAAGTTAAAGGGGTCATCAGATCCTTTTGCATTTTTACAATGAAGTTAGGCCTAAAGACCCTTAACACATTAGAGAAGGTTTGGTGTCTCTACGGTCTACGGTTTTGAAGTAGTAGCGATAACAAGTTTTTTCGCATAAGGGGCAATAACTTTCAATAGGGACAATCTTCAGGGACAAGAATGAAATCTTTGAAAAAGATTCAAGAGAACATATTAAAAATGCAAAGACTGATTGTATATTTTAAAAGACAAAAGAGATATAAAAAGAGCTTGATTTCTCAATTTTTGAGTGACCTTGACCTTTGACCTTTGCATAAATTTAAAGGTCAAAGGTCACTGAATCTAATGCAGTTGGTCCCATGTCTCCACGACTTGTCGTTTTGAAAATTTTTGATTATTTGTAATATTCAAAAAGTTTAACTCATTTTTGAAGGGGTCACCGAATGCTTTCGCAATGAATAGATTGAAGAGGGGCCATTGGTGAAGGTTTCATACCTTTACGGTTTACGGTTTCAGAGGAGTAGCGATAACAAGGGTTTTTAGCACAAGGGGCAATAACTTTTCAAAGGGTCAATCTTAGGGGCCAAGATTTATATCTTCTAAAGAGTTTCAAAAGTACATATCAAAGACATGAGATAGATCATATATGTTTAAGGACATAAGAGCTATTAAGAGAAATTTATTTCTCATATTTGGAATGACCTTGACCTTTGACCTTGAAATGAATTTGAAGCAAAAGGTCATTGAATGTTATGCAGTTGGTTTCACGTCTCTACGACTTTTCGTTTTGAAAATTTTTAATTTTTTGTAAACTTTATAAACTTTCAGGGGCAGTTACTCATTGAAGGGGTCAAAGAAATCTTTCAAGGGTCAAAGAAATCTTTCACAATGAATAGATTGAAAAGTCTCCTAAATTAGTTAAAGACAATGGTGAAGGTTTTATATCTCTATGGTTTACGGTTTCTGAGGAGTAGCGATAACAAGCTTAACGGTGAAAGGGCCAATAACTGTGTAAGGGGTCTAAGTTAAAATATGGGGGGTCATTTTTTTTAACGGAATAACTTTAAATATCCAGTATCATGAACTATAAAGTTTTTCGATAAGTCTTACGGTGTCAAAACATAAGGTGAGAAATAGAATAATAAAAAACATAAGCATTTCAATAGGTCTTTCCACAGAAAGGTGGAAAGACCTAATTATGAAAGTCCTAGCCTTGACCACTCAAACGTTATTGCCAAGGTTAGGGGTTTTTTTAAAAGTAGATCAAACACCAAGGTAAAAGGATCAATATTACTTAATATTCATGCACAAATTAGAGGATTTAATAATATTAAACCATAATTATAACATCATCTAACCAATATTTGGATTTGCTTTTTTATTGATGTTATATTGTACAAATATGTAAATCATAAATCTATACATAAAATACATTCAAAAAATGCATTATTTACCTTAAGTTTACAAACTGTACAAAGTAACAGATAATTTTTTAATAAATCATATCTCACGGATGTAAAAAGAATTTGAGAATAATAAAATTATATAACAATAAATTATAGAGCATTATTTTGTTGATTTTTTGAAAGCTTGTGTATGTATTAACAAGTAAATAATTATTACTTCAGGATTCATAACTCAGGCAATTTGATCAAGCTCAGGTGCTAAAGAGCTTGTCTTGCAGTACTTTTCATGTTAAACCATCCATTAACATTATTAACAAATGTGTATATTATATGTACTACTCCTGATAATATAAACTTCTAACTCTGCATAGCAGTCCAAGTTGAAGCATTGTATCTAAAATTTCTTCTCTGTCTTTTCTTACTAAGATGTTGTAAGGCCTTGAGTAAAGTATTCTACTTCTGGTATCTTCCAGTTTATCAGCATTCCTTAATTTTCTACAATGTTCAGTGCTCAAATCCAAACGAGTGAAAATGATCTGCAATATTAAAATATCCAAATATTATTTACATTTGTTTATACCAGCAATTTAAACAAAAAAAATTATGAACTTATTTCGGTATATTTAATACACGTACTAGCATCAAAAACACTTGTTCATGTGCTGGTATATACAATAGTGAAATACTATACTTTATTTGTTTAAAGTAATAATTGCTTGAAATTGCTGTCAAAATCCTTGTATACTTTTTTCAATAATTTAATCATTTAGCTATAATGTCTTGAGTAACAAGGAATTGTTTTAACTGATGAAATTAAAAAGTAACATTTCAAGCAATTTAAACATTTTTCAGTCCATATCAAGATTGGTTATTTTCTGTTTAACACTTGTGTCAAAAGAAGGAAAATGGGACATTTAGTCATGTTACACTTTTACTGTTAAAATAGCATTATTCTTGTAAATTATAACTGTGAAAAGAAATGGACAGACAGATGTGCAATCATCGTCACAAACCGTGGCTAAAATGTACGATCCACTCCCATTCTGGCTGTGGTTATCGAGAGGAGAATATTTCATAGCTCTTTAAAGTATTGACCAATGTGAGTAAAGCATAGTCTGAAATTGACCTTTCCTGCGACCTTTCAATACCCAATAGCAGTGTACAAAATACTGCTGATATAACTTGTTGATTTCTATTGCGATGGAAACAAAACTTGTCATTGACTGAATATGATGTCAAAATAGAAAGGCATAAATATTCAAAATTAGGACACTTTTGTGATCAAGCAGCCATGGGTAGGAGAGAGCTATATGTGCACTCTGGACCATGGCTTGAGACAATGATGTGCAATTGACATACTGTGATCAGAAAAATTCAATTGGCCTTTAATTCCAGTAATAAAATTCATTAAAAATTACTAACCTTGGTCTGAACACAGATTATTCCTACAGATGTATTAGGTATAGCAGAGTTCATAACTTCCACTAAAAGCTCCCCTCCATGTTGTCCTAACATATTCTCAACAGCCTGGCTTTGAAGCTTTTTGTCTTTGATACAAAAGTCATCGACATTATCACTTTTATAATGTGGCCACATATTCACCTGAAATGACATTTTTTTATGAGCTTTTATGAGCTTTGTTTTAAAAGCTTTGAATTATATCTTTAATAAGAAACTTATGAAGAAAAAGTGGCTCAATTTATTGGAATTGAAAATAAAACAGAAGGCCAATGGGCCACATTGCTCACCTAATCACCCCCCTCCCCCCCCCCCCCACCCCGATCATGCTTTTAAATACTCTAGATTCTACACTATCCAAAGATTCTTCCACATAGGTTTCAGCTTTCCTGGCCCAATGGTTCTTGAGAGGAAAATTTTTAAAGATATTTCCTATATAATTCTATGTAAAACTTGGATCCCTTATTGTGACCCTGCCCTACTTTCAGGGGTCATATTTTTAACAATTGAAAATTTTCACTACCCCAGCATGCTTCCACATAAGTTTCAGCTTTCCTGGTCCTGTGTTTCTTGAGAAGAAGATTTTTAAAGATTTTTCCTATATATTTCTATGTAAAACTTGGATTCCCTATTGTGACCCCGTCCTACCGTCTGGGGTCATAATTTAAGATTCTACGTACACTACTCAAGGATGCTTCCACATAAGTTTAAGCTTTCCTGGCCCAGTGATTCTTGAGCAGAATATTTATTTTCTCTTTAATGAGGGCCTAAATGTATTTAAATTGTCTCAAAAATTTAGTGCATTTCTAAAAGACATTTCTAAAAGTGATAGAAATAGTTTATAGATCCATAAGAGTGTCAAATGATGAACTTGATTTAGCAAGAGAGTTCTTTCAAAAAAGTGGCTAAATAGATATACTTATTACATTAACAAATCTAAAGATAATACATGTACCTCTTATAACTATCACACTAACCTCTCCCACAGTGCCTGTAATTAGAGATGAACATGTAGTAAACCGTGTAGGTTCTCCCAGCACTGTGTATCTGATATCTGGAGTACTGGTCATGTCTTCACCATTCAGCCTCATTTCTGTTTTCTGCCAAGCATCTCCTCTCCTGCAAAATTGTTGAACTCACTTCATTACAAAATACCTCACACTTGTACCATGTTCTGAGACATTGAATATTACAATAAAATCAGCTGGTATCTCATTAATATATGGAATCTTTTTTTCCCTCTAAGGATGAAATTATCAAATTTAAATAAAATGGATGTAAAATGCAGGCAGTAATCAAGTGTAAGTGTCTCTAGTTCTTTTATCTTACAATATAAGACAGAGCTTTACACCAAATGAATGTGGAGCTCATCCCTATATGATACATTAAATCATTCAACTTGTCTGTGTACAATTTACAGTTCATTGGGAATCAAACCTGCTAAAAAAACTTTTAACATGTTTAACCTATCCATTCATCTAAAGAAAGATGTACATCAGGTCCAGGCATCAAAAGCATATCTGCCAGACAAAATGTTTCTATGTAGATACATCAGCTACATGTATGCAGTTAAAGATACAATATACATGTATGCAGTTCATGTAGTTATTTTAACTTATTTGGTAAGAAGATCTGCTCCAAGATATTCATCAATTCATTCATCCATTGGTCACACCTAGCATACAAAGGAAGTCTGGCATAGTTCATGCAACATGGCAACATAGAAAGAACAATCCTTTTAAGTTTCAATCAAAATGTTTGCCTCAGCAGTTTACAAACAATTGAATCGAGGAATTTTAGATATCTTGATTGTTACTTGATGGGGATGTAGTCATTTTAAAAAACAGTAAATAGTAAAAACAAACTTGACTAGAACACTATCATAAAAGCTAGCTAGAGCTCCAAATATTCTGAATTTGTTTCAAACAAATAACTTTTAAACTCACACAGGGTTCAAAAGGAGTATCTTGCTGAAGAGTGTTAGGAGCTGAATAAAGGCACCCTCCACCCCAGTTCTTTGTCCAGACACCAGTCCTTGTATGAAGTCAGAGTAATACTCAATAAACTCTGTAATCCCAGCATACCACAGGCTAAACAGGTGCCTATAGAAATAAATAATATAATATTGACATTTTGACTGTAGGAGAATACCAAATGTACAAAAGCCCAATTTGACACATGTGCAAAGGGTAAAGTTCTCCATAATAGTTTCAGAGTTTTTCAAAAGGTTAACAATTCAGTATTTCCACTATAAACATAACATCCTGTGAAGTATCATGCACAGTAAAAAAAAATACCTTGATAGAAATTCTGATGAGGAAGACCCAATTCTCATTGACATAAATTCCTCTTTAATGTTTCTCCTTGCATGTATTAAACAGTTCTCAATTTCTTCAATTTTAGGTGACATTATGATAGACTCAAGATCTTCATTGAAGGGACTCATACATTTTTTAGTTGATTCTATCAGACATTCCTTAATCTCAAGTAATTTAGTCCAAAATGCAGCACGATTTTTGATACCATAAAATTCAACGGAATACAACTTTTCCAGAACACATTTAGTTAACTCTGTCAATTCTGTCGCTTTTTCATCATAAAAAATCCCAAACGGTTCTAATGTATTAATATTCCATTTGGAAACATCAGATCTGTAACTATTCCCTCTTTCATGAGATTGAGATCGAGAGTCATTGGTACTGTAACTGTCATCACTATCACAAGATTGAGATCGAGATCTCTGAGATAATTTTCTTTTTCGTGATGATCCTGAAGAGGGTGAGATTGGTGTAGGACTGGGATTTGGTGAATCTTCCATTGTCGTACAAAACAAAGTTTTCTAGCACTTCTTCCTAAAAATAAAAAATGAGAGAGATTACAAAACCTTTCAAGTTCTATGATAACTGAGCACTACATTGTAGTTGGTATTAATGCTTTTTTGCAATTAATTTCATACACATGTTGACTGAGATTGAGGGTCATGTGTTTTGTCGAACCAAAAAACCAAACTATTTGCTGGAGACTGTAAGTTGACAAAATGCATTTTGCCCAGAAACAGAGTAAACAAGAGATGTTTGTAAAACACTTACACCCCCCTCCCCCCAAATTGGAATTTTTTTAAGTCCAAAAGGGCATAACTCTGTCTAAAATGGTGCGATCCTACCCAAAACATTTCTTGAACTAGATATTCAGCTGAAAAATCTATATACTAAATTTCATTTCAATATGTGCAACCCCTGCAAAGAAAGGAATGGAAACTGCAATTAAGTGGAATTTCTAAGTCCAAGGGGCATAACTCTAACAAAAAGGAAGCGATTGTACTCAAAACAGAACTTGACCTAGATATTTATCTGAAATACCTGTATACTAAATTTCATTTCAATATGTGCAACCTCTGCAAAGAAAATGAACAGAAACTGCAAATAAGTGGAATTTTTATAAGTCCAAGGGGCATTACTCTGACAAAAATGGTGCAATTGTAAACAAAACATAATTTGACCTAGATATTAACCTAGATATTAACCTGATAAACCTGTATACCAAATTTCATTTCAGTATGTGCAACAGTTGTGAAGAAAATGAACGGAAACTAAATGGACCGACAGACCGACCGACAGCAGCAAAGCAGTATGCCCTCCCTTCTTCGAAAGGGGGCATAATAAATGTTTTTTTTTTATACCTTTTACTTTTGATTAAATTTTGTTATCATATGATTTTTCCCTATATAAAACAAGAGATGTTTGTAAAACACTTATGCCCCCCTCCCCCCAAAATTTGAATTTTTCCATGTCCAAAAGTGCACAACTCTGTCAAAAATGGTGTGATCATACCCAAAACAAATCTTAACCAAGATATTCATCTGACTAATCTGTAATAAATATGTGCAATCTCTCCAAAGAAAATGAACGGAAACTGCAAATAAATGGAATTTTTAAAAGTCAAAGGGGCATAAGTTAACTCTAACAAAAAGGAAGCGATTGTACTCAAAACAGAACTTGACCTAGATATTTATCTGAAATACCTGTATAATAAATTTCATTTCAATATGTGCAACCCCTGCGAAGAAAATGAACGGACACTGCAAATAAATGGAATTTTTCTAAGTTCAAGGGGCATAACTCTGTCAAAAATGGGGCAATCGTACCCAAAACAGAACTTGATCTAGATATTAACCTGATAAACCTGTATATGAAATTTCATTTCAGTATGTGCAACGGTTGTGAAGAAAATGAACGGAAACTACATGGACCGACAGACCAACGGACGGACCGACGGATAGCAGCAAAGCAATATGCCCTCCCTTCTTCGAAAGGGGGCATAATAAATGATTTTTTTTATACCTTTTACTTTTGATTAAATCAGTATGACTGCCATGCTATGATGTACATGTATTAAATTTTGTTATCATATGACTTTTCCCTATATAAAACAAGAGATGTTTGTAAAACACTTATGCCCCCTTCCCCCCAAAATTTGAATTTTTCTAAGTCCAAAAGTGCACAACTCTGTCAAAAATGGTGTGATCATACCCAAAACAAAGCTTAACCAAGATATTCATCTGACTAATCTGTATACTAAATTCCATTTCAATATGAGCAACCTCTCCAAAGAAAATGAACAGAAACTGCAAAAATATGGAATTTTTCTAAGTCCAAGGGGCATAACTCTGTCAATTATGGTGCGATCAAACCCAAAACAAAACTTGACCTAGATATTCATCTGACTAATCTGTATTATAAATTCCATTTCAATATGTGCAATCTCTCCAAAGAAAATGAACGGAAACTGCAAATAAATGGAATTTTTCTAAGTCCAAGGGGAATAACTCTGTCAATTATGGTGGGATCGTACCCAAAACAGAACTTGACCTAGATATTCATGTGATATACTTGTGTACCAAATTTCATTTCAGTATGTGCAACGGTTATGAAGAAAATGAACGGAAACTAAATGGACCGACAGACCGACCCACAGACAGCAGCAAAGCAATATGCCCTCCCTTCTTCGAAGGGGGGCATAATAAGATCATTAGATGCAAATAATTCTCTAGAAATTGTTTTGAATGGATAATCCATGTGCACTGATAGTCAAGTGAGCTAAACCCTGCTTTGAAAGCTGTTTACCCTTACAGTAATCCTCTAGATTTTACTTTCACATTTTTTTTTTTTTTTTTTGCTGATTATAAAAAATATTCTCCTTTGAAGGAAATACTGTAGGCTTATTTTTCTCCTTTTCACACTTACAATTTCATTTGCCCATCCCAGATACAGTTTAATTTTGTTTAAGAAAATATACTATATAATAAGTATTTTTTCAATTTTCATCTTTTTCAATTCGCCCCAATTGTTGGGCAAAAAAAAAAAAAAAAAAAAAAAAAACGGGCGTGAAAATTTCCCTGTAAACAGTTTTTAATAAGTAAACATGTTTATATAAGCTAATTTTAGTAACAAGTATAATTATTTGTTAATTATATTTAAACCAAAGGAGTCATCAATCTTATCATTAAATTGAAAATAAATGATAAAACAGTCATAAATCCTAACAGTGAGATTTAGGAGTGCTCCCTACGCTCGATCGCGATGCTTGTATTTTATACATTCCCCAGTTTAAGAAAATGTTAGTTAATAATTGATTATACATTTAACTTCAATTCCTGACAACTTACCTTCCACATGTGTTTCAACGCTAACATATTGGGCCAAAATAAAATTAGAGTGTTTGGAATTGCCTCCCGCCTCATTGAAATTGCCCCCTCCTGAAAAAATTTTATTGAACAAAAGTAGGAAGATTTTTTTTTAGTTAATCAATTTTTGCCCATTACAATACATGTATCACATGCACCATACAAAACACTGAAATATAGTGTCAGATCTATGTAAAACTAGGATTTTTTGTTGATGGTAGATACTTTTTTTAAAAGTCAGAAAATGTATTTACTATTTACTGAGACATTTATCAAAACATAAACAAATTTCTTCAATTTAAAAAAAAAAAATTCCCTCCCTCCCTCCTGTCTCTGAAACCTTGCAGGCAGCAATTCCAAACAAACAATTTTTTAAGGATGGCCTTGCTCTTTATGGTTACAGCCTTTGAAATGGAACTCTTTTAAACCAACATAATAAAACTATATACAGGAGCATTTCCAACTGCTAAAAGGTAAATAAAGTATCAACAAATATAGTTAAATATATGATTAATTATAGGTTACCATTCTAATAGCCAGAGAAAGTTTAAACTACACTAAATAAATGCCTACAGTAGCGTCGAAAAATCATCAGCGTAAATTGAAGGATTTTACAACACTTGGATCTGTAGCTCTCGATCTGCTTTATCTGTCTGAATTTTCTCTTATCTCTAGCAGAGAGCTACAGTTCTGCAGCTACTCTCAGAGATCTGTTTAAATATTGCAATTTAGTTTTGGCTAAATAAAAACATTCTATGTTATACATTGTCACAAATTAATGATAGTAGAATTTTGTAAAAAGCATCTGTCACCATCTGACCATTGTGTGAGGGTGTGTGTGGTGCATTTCAACCACAGGAGCAAGGAGTTTTAGCATTTTAAAAACAATGTAAACAATTAGAGATGGGAATCGGTAAAATTTTCATAATCGATGATTGGGTTACTCTAAGTAACTAATTATCGATTATAATCGGACATGTAAAAATTATATCAATTTAAATTAGTAAATGGTAAGAATGGGTAAATGACGACTTTCTGTGGTGATCCAGCTGGTTCTTTGTTCATTTTATAGAACCGAAAGTATGTCCATGCCCAGAAACATGCTTTGTTATCCGGGTAGAAAAACAAGAGTTTGTTTATATGCACCATTAGGTAACACAAATAAGTCAAAAGCAATGCTGTGGATGGAAAATTAGGATTAAAAATTATTATGCTTGTAAAATAAAATAAACCGATTGATCAGAATTTTAAAAATGCAATCGATTGCTTGGATTATGTCAGCAATCGACTGATTTTCGATTATAATCGATGACTGGAACACCACTATAAACAATAACCTTGAGCTTCGGGAGCATTCTGCTCACTGGGTCTTGTTTCCATTGTTTTACAGTGTTTATTAATGATCACAGGACAGTGTTTTTTTCCTTATATAACTGGTACCGTTAAACGGCACCGTTCCCAATGCCAAAAAATGTTATTTTTTCCCAATTCTGTGATTAAAAATTCCCAATTTAACTGTGATGCAACAGACTACGACAACTTCGTATTTCTTGTTAAATGAAACATTGTACAAGTTGACTAATTAATCACTTCCGCTGAAATCGAAAGTAGAGAAAGTCGTAATTGGCGGGACACGTGGGTTAGACAGTGTAGTGACAAAAGTGTCATACATTTTGACAAATTGAAAGCATGAAAATGTCAAAGCATGGGACGTTGATATAAAAAACAATAGGTACTTGTTGCTTATTCTTTAAAACAAGGAGTAATAGGTAATTAATTTAAAATATATGCAAAATACATTGCATTTGCATAAATGAGAGAAAATTCGCCTGTTTTTCTTCGATGTTATTTTTCCCAATTAAACCGTTATCGGACCAATTCCAAATATTGGTGGAAAAAAATTGCTGCAGGAGTCGGCAATTTTATCAATAAATAGAAAATAAATGGTAAACAGACATACATTGTAAATCCTATCAGTGAGCTTCGCGAGCGTAGCGAAGCTCACTGATAGGATTTATGTCTGTTTACCATTTATTTTCTATATATTGACAAAATTGCCGACTCTTGTGAATGATAAAACTGCAGAGGATCCTTGTGATTTCAACTTTGGTGTGACCAGGCGCGGATCCAGGAATAAATTGAAGTTAGAGTAGGCGCCAAAATTAGGCAAACGGTCTGGGGGCCGCCGTGAGGCCCCAGTGGGTCCAGGGCAAAGCCCTTGTTGGAGCCCATGGGGCAAAGCCCCCTTAAGCATGGATTCTAGAGATTTTGTAGGCTAAAAGTCTACCAAGTAGACATAATTACATTTTCTAGACGAAACTGTGATTTATGCTAACTTTGACAATTCCGTCACTGGTGACACTCTTTTCTATGTTAAATATATCCAATTGTCCTGAATCAAACTTCTGTAGACTATCTGTAACAAGCTAACAACAATTGTTTTACCTTTTCCTGGCAGTGTCATGCACAAACGAACCCGTTAGCCAAGAAATGTAGAAGAAAACTCTCCAGTCCGAAAAGACTCAGTCAACATGTCAACCATCAATTTAAAGAGTTATCGTTCTTAGCGGGTGCGTCGATTTACCCAAATGGACCCAAATGGAACCCAAATGGACCCAAATGGAACCCAAATGGACCCAAATGGAAACTCAAATGGACCCAAATGGAAATCAAATAGACACAAATGGAATATAAAATATATATATTATATCATATTTCAAGTTTTTACTTATTTAAAATATAGAAAATAATGAAATTAAAACAAATAGAGAATATTATAATATCATTATTTTCTTCTATTGTATTTTTAATAATGTGATTTAATTTATTTGTAATAAATATAACTGAACATACTTGAATAACAAAACTGAAGTATTTGATATTTTTTATGGCCGTAGGAACGGAGGTGGAGGTGGGGGGAGGGGGGTGGGGGGAGGGGTGGAGGCCATGCCTACCCCCTGCCCCTACCCCCAAATAATTTTGCCGGTACACATGTATATAGAATACTATCAAAACTTCGTGTTTCAAAATACAATATTACAGTTTATTAAGTTAAAAAAATCCATTTGTAACTGTAAGTTCATTGATTTTCATCATTTAAATAAGTATTAAAATACGATAATACATATTTAATATTCCATTTGATTTCCATTTGGGTCCATTTGAGTTTCCATTTGGGTCCATTTGGGTTCCATTTGGGTCCATTTGGGTTCCATTTGGGTCCATTTGGGTAAATCGACGCGCCGTTCTTAGCTTAGGTAACGGGATGTTTCGTGCCTTTGCATGGTTCGCCCAGGGGATGGTTCACTTCATTTACATAGTACATTGTATTAATT